TGCTCTACGAGTTTTATTAGTGTGTGTGTGTAAAGTGTGTGTTTGTGGAGTTCGGTGGGCGACCCTGTTGCATTAGGCACACTTCCCCTCTGCAGTAAACACAAGTCTTATTGTCAAATTACTTCTTCTCCACAGAGAACTAAAGATCCTCTTCACAACTGCTCATCTTCTCCTCGCCACCGTTTTCCTCTCTGCACCTCCCACAAAATGGCATCTTCAGGACACCCTGAGTTATATTTAACTGTTTTTCCTTTCACTGCATTGTCTGATCTCTCCTGCACTCAATGTCGATGCTGTAGGAGCTAGACCCCTTATCTTAACCCACCGTTGTCCCTCCATCCTGCCTGAACCCACTCCAAGATTCAATAACAGCTGGTCAGAGATTACCACCATATTTAATAAAGACAAAATGTATTTCTGAGTCCACATTAAAGTTATTATCTTGAAAGGCAGGGAGAAAAAACAAAGACTTTACCAGGCAGCGCTCTGCGATTGGCAACAAGCTGCATCACGATGGAGATAACGGACTCAGAAGCTTCAAGGCTGTTTTGTTTTTTTCTTCAGAAGAAGAATGTGTTTTGTTGTTTAGCTGGTTTTGAATTTCAGATGGTTCATTTTGGTGAAATTAAAAAAAAGCGCAACTTTGTTTTGTCCTTGCATGAAATGGGAAGTGAAAAAAGAGAAAGAATAACTTTGTGCGTGCTGTAGTTTTCTGGAGAGTGATGTATAAAACGTCAAAAGTATTTGCTTTCCACATTTTAATGTTTCATTTGAGACACTTGACTTTTGATTGTGTGGAGGTCTTTATGTGAACTGCAGCATATTTCTGCCTCTTCTTGTTCCCTTCACTTGTGTCCACACACTTTTTCACCGTCACAAACTTCTCTTTTGCAAGACCTCCCATCACATATTATTATTCATCCGCATCTTTATCCACTTTTTCCTTTCAGGGTCGGTGACATTATTTACATGAACGCTCCTACAAGAACCCTGCGGATGTTGGATGTTGTCTATCATGGTGCACTAAGATTCATAACTGGCTGTGATTATCGTACCCATCACTGCACCCAGTATTCACTGGTTAACTGGACATCATTAACTTCGTGTAGACTCTCTCACTGGTACATTTTCATCTTTAAATCACTTCTTGGTCTGCTGCCTTCATACATCTCCTCCTACATGTCTCTGCATGAGTGCAGTTACAGAGTGCACTCTCTGGACATTATTACCTGCAGAGTTCCTTCAGTGAGGACTGAACTAGGCAAAAGGACCTTCTCCTACTCCGCTCCTGTTTCCTGGAATATCTTACAAAAGATCTGAAGCTCTCGACCTTGACCTCTCTAAGTGGCTTTAAGAATCTGTTGGACTCCTGGCAGGGACCAATGCTGACATGTTCCTGTTTTTAGTTTTCTACATTAGCCTTAGAATCTACAGTAGCTGTTTTTTGTTACTTTTCTTTTTTAGCCATCCTATTTGTAATAAATAAATAAATAAATAAATCTGTATGCCTTTTTATAACTGTCTATTGTTGTCGCTGTTGTCCATTGTTGTCATCATTCTTTGTTGAAATCAGGTCTCTCTTGTAAATGAGTCCTCGAGGCTCAATGGGATTTACCTGTCTAAATAAAGGTTAAATGAAAAAGGTCATGTGGCTCTCTGGTGCCCGTGTCCAGCGATCACTGTGTGAGTGATGGGCACACTCTGGACAGGTCACATGTCCGTCACACGGCCTACACAATACATTTGTAGTGTTGTTTTCACTGTTCTGTAAATCTTCTCTTAAGGTTCTCTTCTCTTAGGTTAGACCTAGCAGTTTAACAATAATTTTCTTCTGACTGTACCACAAAACCATACAACAACGAAACAAACAAAAGGTCGTTATTATGATTTTGGCCTCTTGCCTGCATGCCCTAAAGCTATGCTCCAGACAGGCAATGACTACCTCTGCCGAGGATATTAAGATGTTGGTGTCAATTTTTTATCCGTTTATCCTTAACAATGAACATTTTCTTCCAAAATGTGTCAGGGTCAACATCATAATAAGTTGCTAGGTTTAAAAAAAAGTTGGTAAAAATCTAAATTGCAATTTTATTATTTTATTGTCATAAATTTTATTTTAATAATAAAATACACCAAATGTACCGGACTTGCTGCCGTAAACGTCGAAACTCTGTATAAGTCGCATCAGTGCAAATATGCCTAACAAAGTGGAAAAAGAACATAAATACATCACTTCGCCATATAAGTCACATCTATTATGCGTCACCACTGACGCATCGCGTTTGTTATGTGTCACCGCTGACAACCCAGAAATGTGGGCCGGTGTTGGGCCAAAAATTGATTGGCTGAGAAATGGCGACCGCGGGAGCGTGCATGAGTGGACTTTAACAAGAATTTAACAAGGTTAACACTTAAAAACAATTATTTATTTGCTCGAAATTATAGCAAAGGTGCGTCTCAGTTTAACTTTTACTTAATAAATGCACTTTAATGGTCAAATCAGCTGCATTTCAAAATCCGATTCGTGGCTGTGGGAGCGCGCAGAGGGACGACTTGCTGTGCATTTCTTTGAAATTTAACAAGATAAGCACCTAAAAACAATTTGTTTGCTTGACATTATAGTAAATGTGTGTCTCAGTTTAACTTTTACTTAATAAATGCACTCTGACGGTCAAATCAGCTGCATTTCACCTGAGACGCACGGCAAAATGAAGCTGATTTGACGTTTGCTCCAGGAGTTCTGGAACAAGACGAAGGTGACTTGGTATGGCAAGCCAAGGGTCTCATTAATAGCCACTTTTACCCATTAATGAGACACTTGGTTTGCCATATTCGTCGAGGGCCCTCTTGTGGCTGAAAATAGTAGTGTTCAATATTTTCCACGTCAGAATGAATGAAATCATCAGATCGCAGCCAAAAATTTGTTTATAAAATATGGGAAAAAATCATAAATATGTCGCTTCGGTGTATACAGTGCAGGCATACTAATTTATGCAAAAAAACTGCGGCTTATACAGCAAATATTATGGTAACTCTATTGTACTGGGAAAATTGAAACTACGTTAAAATTTGTCAACACATTTTGAAATGTTGAGGCAAAAAAGTAATATAAAAATCATAAAAAAATAGATTAATTATAAATACAATTAACTTTTACTTTACAGCATGTCTTTCAACAGAACATTGTCTTAATACTCTGTTGTATCCTATTCAAGGTTTACATTTGTATGTATGTATTACAAAAGTATGAGATGTTAAAGCAGAGACATGTTTTAGGAAAATTACATGATATTCAGAGTCTACTTAAACATCTACTATGATGTACAGTAAAAACTGATAAGAAACAAAGAACAAAATGATAATGAAGTTTGGCAGCTGCTTCTGGCTCAGCAGGAGTGAGGAGATCTGGAAAAACTGCAAAGGAGTTTGCTTATTCTGAGCTTTACCAACAAACCCTGTTTAATACGAGGGGTTGCATGACCACATATTTTTAAAAATCGACTTCAACATGGAAAAAGTCGACGTCGACTAGTCGCTGTGACGTCATAGGAACTCATATCATATTCACAAAACAAACACAATTTATTATTTGCACTAAAAAACAGCAAAACACAGAGAGCATATATTTATGCTCATATCATATGCTACTAGGAAAACCAAACCTATAATTAAGCTGCAAAAGTAAAAGAAACGTGCGGCACGTAAATAAAACAAAGCTAAAAAGAGGAGGAGGGCGGTGGTGATATCCACCACCGTGGAATAAATAAAATAAAACTAAAATCAGGCGTGCGGGTGGAATCCACCACTGCTCGCTGACGTGGCGGCTGGGTCCATTCCAGTTAAGCTTCAGGTGGGTCGCTGGCACTGATCCATCTGGACTTTTTTTTTTTACATCTTTCAACCGGCCGGTCAGCGCGCTGTCAAACGGCCGCGTGCGGCTGGTGATCCAAATTGGATCGTCAGTCGCGCACGTCCGCTGACGCAATTAAAAGCCTGACACCGTCCCGGCCCACCCATCCAACACATTATTTTGGCCACGTCATTGTGAAAATTCGGGCTGGGCCAGGCCGGGTTAGAAATGACCGCTCTAGCCAGCACCCAGCAATGCAATCATGTGATTGTGACTAGTTGATGTGAAATTTAAAAACTCGCGAGATGCCCTAGAATCGACTAGTCTATTCAACTCCTATCTAATACTAAACCATATAGGCTTTGATATGCTCTAATTACTCATCTCTACTAAATATGAGGCAGCACAATGGCTCAGTGGTTAGCACTGTTGCCTCACAGCAAGAAGGTCCTGGGTTCAATCCCTGGTTGGACCTGCGGTCTTTCTTTTTTGGAGTTTGCATGTTCTTCTCGTGCTTGCGTGGGTTTTCTCCAGGTACTCCGGTTTCCTCCCACAGTCCAAAAACATGCATGTCAGACTGCCGTCAGGTCCAGCCTCTCTTGCAAAAGAGATCTGTGATCTCAATGGGATTGGCCTGGTTAAATAAAGTTAATAAATAAAGGTTAATAAATAAATAAATGAGGTCTGATTAATTTCCAATAACTTCCTGATAAAGTTTTCCAGCCTTTAGACCATTCGTTTAGTCTTGTTTTTTGGGTTATTTTTCTGGAGGAGGCAGCTGCATGTTGTTTTCCTGCAGTAGCTCTGGAACAATGATTTTATGAAATAAAACTTACATCATGAGACTTTGTTTTGTAGCATGATCATCACATCGTCAGTGACTTTATTGATACCAGTGACTGATGTATGCTCGCGAGTTCTCTTCTTGCCACCCACAAGGAAAGTTTGTTCTATCTTTAATTTTTATTTTACATACTTCAATGATTTGACGAGCACTAAAATAACTGTGACAACACGACATACACTGAGCATAACCACATGTTCTGGCTCACACTTCACCTAAACTAGATATTCTTCATGAAGTGCTGACTGAGCATCAAGGAGCAAACTGGAAATGTTATAGTTCATCAAACTGAACCACATAACTCACATGATAAGAAGATCGATGCTCACGATCCAGAGGCTTGGTGACAAACATCTTCCCGACCTCTGGGTCGATGCTGAACACCTCATTGGGTGGTTGGTCCGCGCCCACCCCAGTGATGCTGTACCGGATTGAGATGTCCTGGTCCTGGTCTGAACGAATCTGAATCACAGACACAAAAGAACAGAGTCCATCTCAGCATCAGCTTATTTTTTATTGGTGAGGTGATTGTTATTCTAATTCTTACCTAGCCTTACATGAAACATTCAGCTTGGAATGTAATAATTTATAACGTGGGGATGTTTGTGTTCCCTCTGTGTCAGTGTGTGCACATATATTGCTCCAACATACGAAAGTAATACAAACTTTGAGATTTCACGCCTCAACAAACTCTGATTTTGTCACTGTTGCCGTAGGGAGCACTTCACATTCTGTTTGAGATAACCCAACTGCTTTAAATGAAAAATATGATCTCTAGAGTTGTGTGTGAGTGTGTGTGTGTGTTTGGAGGTGAAATCAACAGTATATACACTTTTCACTTTGACAGTAAGATACATCAGAGAGTATAAGTCTTGAGGGAGTCACACTTATTTCAAACATGCTGTGAACAGAAATGACAAAGTAGACCATAAGAGCTTGTAACATGTAATTATAGAACAGGCTGCATAACAAGAGTAAAATAACTCTCAAGTGAAGAGGCGCAGGCAAGAAGAAAATTATTTATTAACTCTGGGACATGGGAAACAGAATGTTCTTTAAAAAAAATGGGCCTGCATTTTGGTTCAGCTTTTGTTGCCAGATAGGCAGCTAATAGATGCATTAAGTGCACCGCGACGCCCCGTGATTTAGACTGAAGTGCTGTGTAATTGGGACTCATTTGGAGGAGTTATTCAATTTAGTGCCCAAATAGAGTCCAAACCTTCAAGCAGCCCATTTCTGTCCATTAACTGCATGACAACTCGTGAAATCAGTTGGCGTATCAAAATGACTCAATCATACACTTAACTCTGGGGTGCAGGCACATACTGTTCAAACACACGCCCATTCAGATAGGAAGGGCCAAGCTTTTTAAAAAATCTTCTTCTAATCATTGCGCTGAGTGCACCGGAGGAGTAAGACCGTCCAAAGTTGTCTCCATCTTTCACCACTCGAAGAACCAATTTAGCCATACTTTTTGACACACCAGGAATTCTGCCCTGCTGAGAAAATAGCTGAAGAAACTAACAAGGACGGGGAAAGGACATACAGTATTAGGCAGGTGTCATAGGCACTCCTCTAACTGTTGGGAGTAAAAGCCTGTCACCATTACTGAAAACGGTGGTATAAGTATTTCCTTTCCGACGCTCGTCTTCAGCCTTCAAAACTACCATTAGCTCCTGGTTACAGGAGCAGAACTGATGCGTGTCTCTGCAGTCAGACAAATGTGATAAGTTATAAACACCTCACTTTTATGACTTCAAGAGGAGCTGTCACGGCATCCGCTAATTCCGTTTGTGCATGTATGCATGTGTGTGTTTTCTTTGGGGAATAGGGGGAGGAGAACGTCAGAAGGCTGCGCACAAATCTCAGTGAATTGCTGCTGACAGCTCCGATAATTAATAAGCTGGAAGCATCAACTGCTTTTACTTCAAAGCGCGTTATCCATTAAACACCAGCAAACAAGCAGCTTTCCAGCTAGTAGTTTTGTTGAACTCCTGTTACGCTGAAGCGCACCTATACATCCACTGACACACATTGTTTTACTACCCCTCACCCCTCATGTTCTCCTTGTCTCCTCTTTCCTCTGCCCTTCTCCCTCTTCTTTACCTAATCTCCACTCCTCCTCTTCCCACTCATCTCCCCCCTTCTGCTGTGCTCTCCGATCACTCCCTGCCTTCGTTTCAGATCTCTGAGGGGACAGAAGCCATGCATGCAAAATGAAATTAATTCATTTCCTTGGCCTTGGCAGTGGCGTGTAAATCCTCGCCAGTTAGGAAGTGATAGCTCTTCATAATTCCATTTGGGTTTTCCCCGCCACCCATCTCCCTGATTTCCCACCAAGTTGTCCTTCTCTGGGTGGGAATGTGTGTGTGTGTGTGTGTGTCCTTGTTTATGCTACTTTGTGAGGCCCATTTTTCCAACTTATACTACATTATGGGGACCAACTGCTCCTTATGGGGCCCAAAGCCCGGGCCCCATAAGAAGAAGTCCCGTTGGTGGGTTAGGGGCTAGGTTTAGGACTAAGGTGTGAATTGAGGATGTGTTAGGTTTAGGGTTAGGTATGTACTGGTAATGGTTAGGTTATGGATAAAGGTCATGGTTAGGCTATAGAAATGAATGAAAAATGAATGGAAGTCAACGCAAAGGCCCCATAAAGATAGCAAAACAAACCTGTGTGTGTGTGTGTGTGTGTATGTGTG